ATGCTGGAGAGCTCTGTGGTGCATGTGCATACACTTCATGGCAGCACAATCGTAGCACCACACGGACCCTCCTTCGCGTGTCGAGCAGAGAGCGAGAGGCGAGAGATGTACGTTGTCGAGGGGGACGAGCAAACGCAGACAGTGTCCTCCCTCCCTCACATTCACACACACACACACACACTACACACACACACACACACACACACACACACACACACACACACACACACACACACACACACACACACACACACACACACGCACACATACACACACACACACACAACCTTCCCAGCCCCCAGTCGTCGGTGTGGGGCGTGATGGTGCCGGAGCTGAGCACGCGAGCCATCACCCGCATCCTGGGCAGCAGCGCCTTCAAGACGTACTGCATGCAGCGCAGGCGGCTCGAGCTCGACCGCACCCTCCATCGTCAGGCCGCCGACGGCGACAGCGGCGATGACGACGTGGACGGTGGGCACACTGAACAACAGGGGATGGCGAGCAACCGGGCACAGGGCGTGAAGAGTGCAGCAGCGAAGCGGAGACAGCGCGACACTGGACAACAGCGCTGCCGCAAGCGGCACAACGACAGCAACGGCAGCAACGACAGCAACGGCAGCGTGGGCGAAGGTGATGATGAGTCTGGAGGCGAAGACGACGTTGGTGGTGGTGATGCGGTGCATGGCGGTGTTGAGCCGAGAGCAACGGCCGAGACGAAGGTGATCGAAAGCACATCCCTTGTCAATGATGTCCCCCAACACACCCGCACGCTGGAGGAACGCCGCAGCGCTCTCGACGCTTTCTTGGACGCACAACAAGACACCCTCTTCGACTGAACTCTGCTGGTCTTGTGTGTGCTGTGTGTGATTGTGTGTGTGTGTGTGTGATTGTGTGTGTGTGTGTGTGTGTATGTCTGTGCTTGTACGTGTGTGCCTGTGTTGCGTGTCTGTCTGCCTGTGGCTCATTAAGCAGCAAGCAAGCGGTGCCCACAACTTCAGCAAAGAAGACATCAACACGAGCATTGGCCGCCCCCTTGTTGTAAACCCCCGCTACAAATCCAACAAACAACAGCAGCTCAACAAGTGACAACTTTGGGATCAACGCAAGACAACGCAGTGCTGCTGCAGTAGGATGTCTGCTTACGACCTACAGCCGCCCTCCGTTGTGAGTTCACAAGCCCGGCAAGAGGACGTGTGTTTGCATGAAGTCTCTGCTGGAATAGTTGTGCTGTGCTGTGTTGTGCTGTGCTGTGCTGTGCTTGTGTTGGTGTCTGCTCAGTGCATGTGCGTGTGAGCATCATTGTCTCACCGCGTCACGGAACACACCGCATCGGCAGGCGGTGTCGTTCGTGAACGAGAGTCGAGAGCAGACGTTGATACCCTCGCGCGCCTTCTGCCGGCATGGCTTCTGGCACCCCGACGATGCGGTATGCAACTGCAGAACTTCACGCTGCACTGCATGCGTGATGTTGCTGTGGTTGGCACGGAACACATACACGTACTGTTGGGCAAAGTGCTGAGGCGACGCGCGCCGTCATGGTCAACTCCTCATCTGCAACTGCACACACACACACACACACACACATACACACACACACACACACACACACACACACACACACACACACACACACACACACACACTCTCTCTCTCTCTCTCTCTCTCTCTCTCTCTCTCTCTCTCTCTCTCTTACAGCGACGCGCGTTGTCCAAGCGCCCGAGCAAGCTCAGTGCGTGCAGCTCAGGGAAGCTGCGCCTTCGCGTGTTCCTGGACAGCGCGAGTGGCCTTCCCGCAATGGACCGCAATGGTGAGCATCATGTTGCATGAAGTAGCGGCCGGGGGGGGGCGGTGAATGCGAGCTTGGTGAGGCATGATGAGGGGGAAGAGGAACCTGCGCGTGGGCATGTGCAGATGTGCGTTTGTTGCTGTTTCAGTCGATTCTTGCCTGCTGATCGGCTGGAGCTCGGGCGTGTATATCTATGTGATTGGTGGCTCACTTCATCCTCACAACACCTGGTAGGCCTGTGTGACCCTTACGTCGTCATCAAGGTAATGACAGCGAGAGGTGAAA